AGCCACCATGTTGTTGCTGGGAATTGAACTCAGGACCTCTGGAAGGGCAGTCAGTGCTTCTAACCACGGAGCCATCTCTCCAGCCCCTAAAAGTTTATTTTTAATGATAGTTTTTAAAAGCTTTAACCTCTTTTGTAGCCCACCACCCACCAGAGGTAGTGGGGAAAAAAAGGGTACGGGGAAGTAGACCTGTTTAGAAATGGTTCTTTGGAGCAACTCTCGTCTGTGTTGTCTGGACATCGGCCGTTCAGTTCACAGGTCAGCAGCTGCAGCTCGATCCACTCACAAACACTTTATGGATACACCAGCAGTCCAGTTTGGTAGAGTTGGGATAGTAAACACGAATCAGCAGTGGTGTCACTACCTAGCAGAGACAGCCAGGCCTTAGCCTCGGTATGAGCCTGGGCACAAGTCAGCAGGAGGGACAAAGGAGGAACATCAGAAAAAGTTTGTACTAAAACATCAACTCATAAATGCAGACAGAATGAATCACCATTTCACAATTATACTTGAGTTAAACAAAAATTGTCAGTGGATGGCAGAAGTGGCAGATGTTACAGCAGAAACTGGATTTATTCCTACAGTCTCAGAGTCTTGCCACATTTAATTCTAACCACAAAAAGATACATAATAATCTTAACAGAGAAACCCCCCAACACACCTGCTATGTTTGAATATGAAATGGCCCCCACGTGTTCCTGTGTTCAGTCCTTGGGTAGGGAGGCTGCTTTTCAAAGTGGTGGAAAGTTTAGGAACTGGAGCCTAGCAAGAAGTAGATCATTGAGGGAATGCTTTTGAAAGTATTATGGGTCCCGGCTCTTTGCTGGCTCTCTGCCGTGAGATAAAGGGTTCTCCATATGCTTCCCCCACAAAAAAAAAAAAAAAAAAAAAAAAAAAGCTTCCCCCACTGTAGGCCCAGAACCCGTGGAGTCAAGGAGTACTGGTCGAGTCTGTTGAAACCATCAGCCTAAATAAATCTTGCCTTTAAATTCTTCCTTTCTTTTTTCTCCCCAAAACAGGGTCTCACTATGGAGCCTTAGGTCCCCCGGAACTCAGAATATACACCAGGCGCTAGCCTTGAATCCAATGATCTGCCTGCCTCTGCCCCCAAGTGTTCAGATTAAAGGCGTACACCGCCACATCTGGCCAAAGTTGCTCTATCAGGTATTTGGTATAGCAATGAAAATGTAACTAGATGCCACCTTAGGTGTCTTAGCTACTGTTGCATTGCTGGGATAAAATAGCAAGACCCAGGCATTTAATTGGGAGAGTTTGCTTACACTTTCAGGGGGTGAGACCGTCACCTTCACGCCAGGGAGTGGAGAGGTGTAACGGGAGATACTTTAAAATGCCACGGCACGGGCCGTCTATCTAACCGGTGGGACGGCTCTGCTTAGTTCCGGCCGCCATGTTCTGTACTAGAATCAACCAGAAGCCAAGCATGCCACAGCTAGAAGCAGCCAGAGGCCAAGCGCTCCACAACTAGACCCATGAGACGCCAGTGTGGCAGCTGGCTCTGTCAGTCCACCACACTGTCCCCACAATGCTTGGCTGAGCCCAGACCATTCCCGCTGTGGCCGTGGTAGCTGGTAGAAATGAGACTCTTAACGCTTAAAGATTATCCAATGGATTTATATATTTGGAAATGCTCAATTAACAAGATGCCCACATAATTAGAATAGTTACTCAATAGCTAATCTTTGATATAAGCTGCTAGCCAGGACTAACAGACACATCTGTCTTCCTCCATGATCACTAGCCTCTCCCCTTCCTCTTTCCTTCTCCCAGCTCCACCTCCTCTTCTACTGCCCAATCACTGAGCTCCACTGCGAATACAATGTAGCCGTAGCAGGAAATTATCCTGCTACAGGGAGGCAGACAAGCATGGCTTTGGAGCTGTAGCTGAGAGCTTGTATTCTGATCCCCAGGCAGGAGGCAGAACTAGAAAAACCGGACCTGGTCTGGGCTTTTTAAACCTCAAAGCCCACTCCCAGTGACACATGGCTGCTAACAAGGCCACGCCTCCCGATCATTCCCAAACAGTTGCATTGACTTATCAACCGTTCAAACATTTAAGCCTACCCTGTCTCGAAAAACAAAAACAAAACAAAACAAACAAACATTTAAGCCAATGCTATAGGATCACTCTCATTCAATGCACCACAGTAGGTCTTCAGCAATGGGGCATAAACCACCACTATACCTACAGGTCACACTGAAAACACTCATCACTACGGTGCGATCCCTGCCCACATACACAAAGCTGGAGTCTAACAGGAGACAAACCCAAACTGGAGATATTCATCAAAAATAAGGATGAGGGGACAACATAGGAAATGTAAATAAATCATCCAATAAAAAAAATAAAAAAAAAAAAATAAAAAAATAAAATAAGGATGAGGTCGTAACTCGGTCGCAGAACACCTGCCTGGCATGTACAAAAGGTCTGGTTTTGTGCATGCGCGCGCGCGCACACACACACACACACACACACACACACCTACGTTGTTCAAATTAGGTCAGTGTTTTGCTTTAAAGCCTGAAGAGACTTGGCAACTGAACATTAACAAGGAGCCTTACAAGAGCAAAGGCAGCGCTTTGGTTGCATTTTGTTTGTTTGGTTGGTTTTTGTTTTGACAGGGTCTCATACTCTCTAAGCTGCCCGCAGACTCTCTGTGTAGCCAAAGGTGACTTTGAACCCATGATCTTACTGCCTCCATCTGTGAGGAGTGTTGGATTACAGTCCTGTGCTATTGTGCCCCGTTTAGGCAGGCTAGAGATCAAAGCCATGTCTCAGGCATGCTAAGAATTCCTTACCAGTTGAGCAGCAGCTGCAGAATGATTAGATCTTTTTATGCAGGATATTTCAACATATCCTTGGCTGTCCTGGAACACACTATGCAGACCAAAATGGCCTCAAATTCACAGAGATCCACCTGCCTCACCTCCTGAGACCTGGTATTAAAGGCGTGCACCCTAAACCCAGCTCTGTGAATAAGATCTTGTTTGTTTGTTTGGTTTTTCGAGACAGGGTTTCTCTGTGTAGCCCTGGCTGTCCTGGAACTCACTCGGTAGACCAGGCTGGCCTCAAATTCAGAAATCCGCCTGCCTCTGCCTCCCAAGTGCTGGGATGAAAGGCGTGCACCACCACCACCCGGCTGTGAATGAGATCTTAATGTCAAGGTTAGTTTCCTTTGATGACTGAATTAAGGCCAAGAAAAGAAGTATTTATTTGTTTTTTTTTTTTCAACACAGGATTTCTCTGTAGAAATCTGGCTGTCCTGAAACGCATTTTGCAGACTAGGTTGACCTCAAACTCTGAAATCCGCCTTCCTCTGCCTCCCAAGTGCTGGGCCTGAGTGCTAGAACTAAAATAAAAGCATGTACCACCACACCTGGCTGGAAAGAAATATCTTTAAACTCCTTGATTTATTATGTGTATGAGTATTTTGCCAGCATGTATGTATGTACGTGCACCACATTCATGCCTGGTGCCTATGGAAGTCAGAAGAGGGCATCAGATCCAAAGGGACTGGAGTTAAAATGTTTTTTGAGCTGCCGTGTGGGTGCTGGGAATTGATCCAGATCCTCTACAAGAGCAACAAATGCTCTTAACTGCTGAGTCAACTCTCCAGCCTCCAAAAGAAACATTCTAAAGGAAAATAAACATGAATTTAGAAGGAAAGGAGTAATATCTGAAAATCAACACTTAAACACACACACACACACACACTCAAAGAGAGAGAGAGTGAGAGAATAAAGTCAGTGGGACAAAACTGGTAATATTAGGGAATCCATAAAATGGACAAAAAGGCAGTTTTGCTTGCTTAAAGTATAAGCATTGAGAGAAAACAAGCACTTCTAGATAAAGGTGTTCAGAGCACAGCTACAGCTGCCGACACTCCCAAAGGCACGTGCATCTCAACCCAGAGTCTTCTGTGCTGTGTGGTGTGCCAACAGACAGAAAGACATGCCTTCTCTCCAGCAGAGAGGACAGCATAGTAGCCAATCAAGACTGGCATTGTTTGAGGGTGACTTATTTGGGAGAAATCATAAGGCAATATGCTACCATGTGTCCCAAGCTGACTCCTGACTCTGCCTGTCAAGTGTTGGGACATCTGGGGGTGGACCACCATGCTGGGACACACTGGAAGAGTGTTTATAGCTCCTCTGAGGCCAGTGCCCAAGGGCAAAGGTTAAAGCCTTGAACTGCAGTAATGGCACTTTTCCTGCATCTGGCTTTTAAGGATGAATGAAATTCCCCAGGAGCTAAAGTGGAACTCTTGCTGAACCTGCCATAGTCACACAATCGGAGACTCTCATATTTAAGTAAATAAGACAGTCAAGGACTCCAGAGAAGCATGGCTCCTGTTACACAGCACCTTCTCCATGCCAAGTACAAATGAGATAATTCCTGGGACCTAAACCCCAAGGGTACATGTGTGGGCATCCCATCTCACCCAAAGGAAGACCAAAGTTGGTCTTTGTTGGGAAATTTCTCTATACAGTATCAGAACAGGCTTGGGCCTTTTCTGACACCAATCTAAATGTTTCTCTCAGTGAATCCCTAAATATTATTTTCACTCAAATATCATACTCAAACCTATGAACTATGGAAGGCTAGGATGTTTTCCTAAACTTGTCACTGACTTGTGTTTAATGCTGCTTTATCCCAGATTCACCGTACACCAATCTAGATATCCCATAATTAACGAGACCAAGACCACAGTGGCAATTGTTGTGACCTGGTCTCCCTGCTGCCAGCCTGGTTCCATGATGGATATCATTGGGTGTACTCTTCCAAAAAGTGTCAGCCATGCAAATGGGCTTCTGCTGCTGGCTAGACTCTTTGTACCGAGCTGTGGACTCAGAGAATGTTTCTACCAAAATCTACATCATCCTGAAGGCAATGACAGAGGAGAGGTATTGAGGAAGGAAATTTGGAGGATGCTCTAAGAGGAAGCCCAGCACTTTGTTAGACAAATGCCAGACTAGTAACATTTTCTTTAGACACTATGATTTATAGTTGGAAACGTGATGTTGATTACACAGGAGGCTCAGGAAGGACCAACAGCCTTAGGACAGACATGTAATACAATGTCAGGAAACACACAGATTTGGGGGTGTGGGAAATGGCATTTGGTTTTAAGATCCTCTTTCACACCAAAGAGGAAGCGGGACAGGGGACCACTGTGGACCCACATCACACTCAAAGGACTCCTGACCTTTCACCCTGAGACAGGTCAACTCCACCTTCCCAACATTTTCCAGTTGGGAAAACTGAAACAGAAGAGACGGCATGAGTAAAGCTACCTGATGGTAAAGAGGAGTAAAGAGGAGGTGGCAGTATGTCCATCCATCCCTCAAACATGCCAGGAAGCTAAGCTTCAAACGACTAGTTGAGGAGCCCCTTCTTGTGCCTCATTAAAGGTGAAGGAAATCCAAGTTGTGACAAGTCCTGGGCTCTGCCGCCTGTGTGTGTCAACAGCAACTCACAGACAAAAGGCAAAGGGGCAGATGCAACCCCCACTTCCCAGGAAGAAAGGCAGAAGCCGTATTTTGAGGTCCCCTCGTCTCCACACATCTTCAATCATAGGATTTATGGGGTGTGTGCATGGAGGTGGAATGTGTCTCACTGGAAAGGTGTAGGTCTGCCCACCTTCAAAGCCTGAACCTTCCTGTGTGGACCATAGGCCTCCTGCTTGAGTCTAACAACTATCCCTAGCTCGTGGCCTCAGGTTCCTATGCCAACACCCAGCAACTCGCTATCCTCAAGCAGAGCACTGCATCATCAGGACAGTGACCCCTGTGGGAAAGTTTAACCCCCGAATGCCATATAGGACAATGATAACTGACAGGCTCACCTGACCTAGAACCCCCTCCCCGCCCGGACACACACCCACCTATGTAACCGGAGGTTGAGCTTTGTTCTTTAGGAAGGGTCCCTCGCTGCCCAGCTCAGAGCACCAGGATAAATGGACCAGGCTGTGACAGAAGCAGGCTTATCTGCCAAGAGAAGCTCCACAGACCCCTTCCCTCCCTATTGTACAAAAGGGGCGGGGAAGCACACGTGACTGACAGACTGAGGATGAGGGTGACGACTCTCGGGATGCCGGGGAAGGTCCGTCCATGGGACACTGTAGTGAACAGCCCCAGTCAGAGAAATCCAGATGTCCCTAAGGAGACAAGGTGCTAAGAGGGTTGGGAGCCTCTAAGTAGAACCTAAATCTTCCTCAGCAGAGACAAAACTCAGTCAGGAGGGATCTTCTCGCTGGACAGGCCTCTGAAGTCTCTGACCAGTTGTAAGGGTGTTCTAGACAGGAGCAAGGCCATCTCTATGGCGCAGAAGGATTGGATTTAAAGGCCTGGAGGGCTCTCTAACATAGGAGAGTGACTTTCCTAGAGAGTCACACCCAGGCTCCTCTGCCTAAGGTGTCCTACAATGGGGCACAGGCAGCATTTTGACCCCTCATAGCAGCACACCCAATAAACAGCCAGGTATACACACTCGAAGTCTCAGCAAGCACCTGAGAAATAAGAGTCCTGGGGGCCACTAGTCACTTCCTTCTGGCCCGAAAGAGACGAAGAGGCCCGGAGGATGCACTCGGGGAGTCTCCAGAGTAGAATGCACATCTGGTGGGCAAGGCCAGCAGGCGGCAGCCGGAGGGGCAGATACAGTGCCTGGCGTTCTCCTCCGGTGTTCTAGGCATCCAAGTCCAGACCAGGTTCCTGGAATAGTGACTGCTTCCTCAACGTGAGCCGGGCACACTTGGGGCACGTGGTCGAGTTGTCGTAATAACAGTCCCTGAGGTGAGAAAGACGGGCTGGGTTCTGCCCGGAGGAATTTCCTCCCTAGGCCAGCCCTCAATACCTTCCTACAAGTTCCGAGAGACTCACTACCATAGACACACATAGAGTGGTTTACCACAAAGCCTGGTACGTGGCTGCTGGCTTCTACGAATGAGCCAGGCCTCCAGCTGTCACGACCGGGCTCCAAGCTCTTACAATTTGCATGTGTGTATACCTGCACATGCAAAGACACACACGTGCCATGATACACCTATGGATAACAGAACAGCTTGCAGGAGGTGGTTCTCTCTCCACCATGTAGGTGGGTGGCAGGGATCGAACTCACATAACTGGGCTTAGCAGCAAGCTCCTTTACCTGCTGAGCCATCTTGTCGGCCCTCTAGCTCTCACTTATTCAGCTTTAACGTATGGTAACCACAACTTATCAATACTATGAAGCTTTCTCCCCTTGTTTCCCCAACTGGGTGTCAAAGTATAGCACAGCTCTGCGGACTCGTTAGTACTTTGATTTTATTATTTTATTTCTATCTGAGCATGAAGGGTGGTAAGGTTTGGGCCCACCTGGCCTATACTAAGCCAGAAAGAGTAACTTTGACTTTGACCTAGAACTAAGCAGTGAGTGGACGCTGTGAGCAACCCTGGGCCGGGAGGGCTTCAGAGGCTACTCTGTGATAAGTCAGGCTGCAGTGGCCCAGCACAGGTAGTTATTAATTCCTAAGGGAACCTGTTTTTTTCTTAAGATAGGGTCTCATGTAGCCCAGGTTGGCATCAAACTTGCTATGTAACTCAGAATGCCCGAACTTCGATCCTGCTGTTTCTGCAGCTCAAGTGCTAAGATTACAGGAGTTGGGGGCGGGGTGAGGTGGGTGGGAGCAGCCTCTTGGAGATGGGGAGGGAGGGGGAGAAGGTATGGGATGAGGAACTGTTGGAGGACAGATTGAGAGGGGAATAACGTCTGGATTGTAAAAAAAAGATTAAATAATAATAGGGCTGGAGAGATGGCTCAGAGATTAAGAGCACTGTCTGCTCTTCCAGAGGTCCTGAGTTCAATTCCCAGCAACCACATGGTGGCTCACAATCATCTGTAATGAGATCTGATGCCCACTTCTGGCCTGTAGGCATACATGTAGGCAGAAAGTTGTAATAATAAATAAATAAACATTAAAATAATAATAAATTATGACTTATGCACACAAAAAGAAAAAATGATTACAGGTGTTTACCACTAGGCCGAGCTCTATTCTGTGCTAGAAATCAAACCCAAGATGTCACGCGTGTTAGACTACATTCCCAGCCCCTTAATAGAACTTTTAATTTAGACAGACATCAGGGCCTAACCCCAGCAAAGAGCTCTGAAAGAAAGACAGAAAAAGCCCGATGTCCGCCTCCTCCGTCAAGGGCAGCAGTGCCATGTAGCACAGGACCAGCTGCAGCTAAGGACAAGGGAAGGCGGTCTGCTTAGAAAGTGGGGAGGAGCCTCAGCACCTAGCCTGAGAGGGCGCTAAGGCCACACCCACCTGAGAGCTGCAGGCCACACCCACCTGTGGAAGACCGCTGAACAGTCGCTGCACACGGATGTATGGCTGTCGAATGGGAACAGCACGTCACCTTCCTTGCAGAGTTCACAGACGAACCCCTTGGCTTGGCACCGCTGTTGAAAAGGGAATCAGGGTAATAACTGGCAAGGAAGTGCCAACTCAGGCCAGGGATACATTCACTGACCAATCCTGGCCCTCAGGACTGGTGGACGGAACAGCTTAGAGCCTCCTCTAGACAGAGCCGCCACTGCAGAGGGGACAGGGGGACCCACCTCACAGTCCAGCTTGATGTGTTTGGCGAAGAGCGTGTGGATCTCCGTTAGCGAGCAGCTGAGACGGCCCATGTGCACCTCCAAGAGGTCCTGGATGGAGTACATCTCGTCGTTCTCCACAAAGTGCTGGCGGTCTTGGAGCTGCCAAGACCCAGTAGGTGTTATCACAAATGCAGAGCAAGGTCCCCACGCCTCACCCATGGCCACGCCCCACCCATGGCCACGCCTCACCCATGACCACGCCCCACCCATGACCACGCCCCACCCATGGCCACGCCTGTTGTCAGGGTCCCGGGTTCTTGTGGAAACCACAAGTTGCATAGGGTGTCCATTTAGGGACCCCAAGATTCTGGAAAAGCCAGAGAGAAGATACGGACAGGGCAACATTTCCTAACCTATATGCCCCATCCCCACCCCATTCCACACACCTGTAATGCCCTCGGGGCCACAGTGGCTGCTCAGTGCTCCCCACCCTTTGCCATAACTTTCCCCTGACATCGGTGGCTCTTCCTGGTCCTGGTCTGTCTAAAACCTTCCGGTTCTTTGTATCCCCTCCCTCTGCTTGCTTCTGTACACAGCAGTCACACCGTGACATACCGCCTATTTCCCTTGGCTTCCTGGCCCACTGGCCACTCTCCAAAGGCCTGTTCTGCTCACTGTTCCCATAATTTAGGCCAGTGTCTGAGATCACTTATTGAGCAAAGCAGTAGGTGACTCTTAAAACTTGTATTTTGGCCAGGAACGGCAGTACACGCTTGTAATCCCAGCACTTGGATTAAATCCCAGACCTGACTGCCTCGGTGAGTTCGAGGCCAGCCTGGTCTACAGGGTGAGTTCCAGGACAGCCAGGACTACACAAAGAAACCTTGTCTCAAAAAGACAAAAACAAAACAAAACTTGCAGATTGTCCCACCTGCCTGAGGAGGCTAAGGTCAAGACCACCTCCCCAAAGCTAAACATGGTAATTGTTTTATCTTAATTTGGAAAACCGAGATCCTCAGAGAACACTGCTGTTGTGCAGAATATCCAGCAGTTTATTACAGATGTGACCTTCCCAGAATAGAGCGTTCAAAAGGCTGCTTGAAGTATAACGTATCTAGCTACAGGGTTATCTGAGGAATCTGAGCATGAAAGATTCTGTCACCCTGGCCACCTGAGACTGGTCCCTCTAGCAGTCTGACCTGCAGCAGCAGTCGCGCCTCCATGGCCTCCTTGCAGGTGATGAAGTATGGCTTCATAAGCAAGATGTCCTGGCGCAGCTTCTGTGGACTCAGACAACGAGTGGGTGTGTCAGCCAGGCCACACTGGTGGCACCGCAGCTGGTTCTGTAAGGCTAAGGGGCTGCCTCTGTACTGGCTTCATAGGGGCCCTGCTCACAGGGTGGCTTCTCCTTCCTTAACTAGGGGTGATAGTCAGGTCAGTAGGGACTGGGGAAGGTGCCCTCAAATTCCACTGGGGGCACTACATTTGGCTGTTCTATCCAATCTCAAGTGCATATCAGTTTTGGGGCTACATAGGAACTTGGATTCAAGACCAACCTAGCTATCAAATTCAAGGTCAGCCTGAACTATGTGTGCTCCCATGCCAGATTCACACGCTGCTGGGAATTGAACCCGTGTTCCCTGCATCTAAGCTAACATTCTAACGACAAGCTACATCCCCAGCCATGCAGGTAAGATGGAAGGTAGATAGGTAAATAGATAGCTGATTGATGGATAAAATTAAAATTCTCTCTTTCTGTCTCTCTCTCTCTCTCTCACACACACACACACACATACACTTTCTGATAAGCTCTGACTATGTAGCTCAGGCTGACCTCAAACTGGTGACCCTCCTGTCCCAGCTTCCTAATGCTAACATCATAGGCGTCACCTTTTCAATGACATTAGGGAATTTAACACTAACACTGTCTCTGGTTTTAACACTGTTGACCCAGCTAAGAGTCCTGTGAAAATACACCTCCCACAGGGATACAAATCCATCCGGACCCTAACCAGGGCCCCAGCCTCACCCGGATCTCCACCAGCTCCTCCACATAGTTAAACAGCAGAGGGTTAACCTCCCGGAGCCGGAGCACTGGCCGAGACACCATCAGGGCCAGGTAGCGCATGCTGCAACGGGACACCTACAGGGCAGGTAGCTGAGTGACCAGTTTGCAGAGCTAGGAGAGGTCATGCCCACCTACTCCCTGCTCCGCCCACCACCACCTCCCCACCTCCCCACCTCCCCACCCCCACTCCGCCACCAACCACCATATCTCCAAAATCCAACCTTGCGGGGCTCAAAGTCCCAGTTGTGTACCACTCTCGCAGGGATGACAGCCAGGTCGTTCCAGTGGCAGTGACTGCAGTAGTACTGGCCGGTGTAGTCACACTGCCGGGCCTCGCTGGGCACACCTCCTGCGGGGAGCCAGGTTGTTACAAGGTCAGGGTAGCCATTCAGGATTGATGAAGGTCTGCCTTCCCTAGCCAAGGACTCACACCATATGGTCCGTCTTCCCTCCCCCAGGCTGCAGGGGAGAGCAAGCTGGGCTAGGGGTTCTCAAGAGGCCCTAGGCCACCCCAGTGTCTCAGCACCCTGTCTACTCATCAGAACAGTAAGACAGAAAGAACTCCTGGAGGGACCCCACAAGCTAATAGTAGTTACAATTCCCATCTCTAGAATGTGATTGTTGGGGGCTGGAGAGGTGGCTCAGTGGTTAAGAGCACTGACTGCTCTTCCAGAGGTCCTGGGTTCAATTCCCAGCAACCACATGGTGGCTCACAATCATCTGTCATGGGATCCAATGCCCTCTTCTGATATGTCTGAAGAGAGCCACAGTGTACTCACATAAATAAAATAAATAAATCTTTAAAAAGGAGGAAAGGAAGAAAGAAAGAAAGAAAGAAAGAAAGATGTGATTGTTGTATTCCGATTTCCTTGTTTTCTCCTAGGACCTGTCTTTGTGATCTCTCCCTGATAGTGGTATAACATAAAGGCACTAGAGTCAGAGATCAGAACCAGCCCTGGAGAGACGTAGGCAAGTCATGAAACAGCCAGGAACTGCCTCTTTTTATAAGAATTGAAGGAATGCCTGTAACGTTTGTTGCTTTGTCACACCCCAAAACAAGGTGCATGGCCTGCGCTGGTCCCAGGCCCTTACACAGCTGCCGAGCGCGGCTTTCTCACACACCCACCCAGAGCCTTTTCTGGCTCAGCTCCGCACTGCTCTTGGCCAGCGCGGAAGAGGAGCCCCATCCTTCACTCACGCAGAGAGATGGGAGCGCGGCACTCGGCACAGCGGTAGTCCTGGCTGTCCAGCCCGGTCTCGGGGCAGATGTTCAGCTCGTACTCTGCCTGGTGACTGACTTTGGAGCTGACACATGGTTTGGAGATGAGGTTCAGGCACTTGCTGTGACAGCGGTAATAACACCCTGTGGTAGGAAATAACCATCTCTCTCAAAAGTTGTACAGATCACCACAGCGTAGGAGAACTGTTCCATACACACCCCCCATTGGCTCCTCTGTAGTGTCCATATTAACTCAGGACTTTCTCCCAGAACTGCTGTGTGCCTCAGCATCTCAAAGAACCTCCTGTCTCTGGATGTTTCCTCCCCTACATCTGTCTTCTTCCATTTCCCATTTCGGGTTTCCATGACTCCATCCTTCTGGGACTGAGACTACCTCAGGAATCATCCTGATTCCTCATTTGTTTCTACAGTCAACACTGACCTCATCCACTTCTTACCTAAACCTGCAGCATCAGAGACAACCCTCTCTTCCTTTCTCCTCGACTTAGCAACCAGAGTCTAAACATCTAGCACGCATGGACCTCATTGAACAGAGAGAAATGTCCTTGGTCACCTCTGAGTATACCTGTATTACATCTACCCTTAGACGTGGTGCCTCTCCTCAAAGGCAGTGGACACATATCAACCACAGGGCCTTTGCACATACAATTCCTCCATACCATACCCTTCCTCCTTAGATATACTCCTAGCTAGTGCCCAGACCTCCAACGGCCCACTGTACTTTATAAACATTATCCCCCCTTATATATTCCGTTACTAGCACCGCCCAACAATACCATGTCATCTCCTCATCTGGCTTCCCATACAAAACAGTCCCAACATCCCGCAATACTCTCTCTGCACTATCCGATACGGTAGCCTCCAGCTTCACGCGGCTTTTGAGCCTTTGTAAAGTGGGTGATAAATCTTAGCTACCTATTCGACTTCTGTGGATGTAAATTTTAAAAACCCTTCTGCGATTCATAACCCCCAACACTAAAGAGCTCAGATCCAGATTCAGGGCCAGTAAGACAGGCGTGTTGGTCTCCTCTGCTCCTCTTATCTCCAGTGCACGGTGACGCCTCATCATCTGTCCCTGCCACCTAACTCGCGTGACTCATGTCTGGGAGCAGGGATTATGAGAGAGGGTCTTGGTCTGGCCCACCTGTGCAGGTGTACCAGGTCTGGATGAGGCCCCAGATGGTGGTATTGCACTTGTCACAGGTTTGTTTGACGCTCTTGCTCTTCTCCTTGTAGAAGCGATGCTCTAGGAGAACCCGGATGTTGGGTTCCTCCTCATTGGGGTCCTGTAGGGGAAGAGTAATAGAAAAGTCATAGGTTGAGTTAAGCAGTAGTTCCTTCCCATCACTCAAGATCCTCAGTACACCCCTTCCAGGACCTGCCTGTCATAGAGATTTTTGAGTACACCCCTTCCAGGACCTGCCTGTCATAGAGATTTTTGAGTACACACCTTCCAGGACCTGCCTGTCATAAAGATTTTGAGTGCACGCCTTCCAGGACCTGCCTGTCACAGAGATTTTGAGTTTCAGCTCAGTGTTCCCCTTCTCTCGTTAGCAACAGAACTAACTGTAGTTAGGCACCAGCCCTTAGGAACACAGAGAACGTTTTTGCAGGCTCTTTGCATCCAGGTGCTGTATAGATCCAAGGGCCTGTAAGCAGGAGGGAGGTTGCCTCTGCCTTCTGCTTGCTACAATAGGGTGACCTTGGACTCTCTTCAGGATCTGGTAGAGTAACAAAAAGATGACCTAGGGTCCTAACACTTCTGGCTGTCACCTAGACCAACTGTAAGCTTTTCTCTCATAAGGAAAATTACATATGTATGTCCTAAACTACTGTACCTTGGGATATATTTGCTACCATGTATCCTTACCCATTTCCTAATGAATATTCCTCTATAAACACCCAGAGTCCATACAAGAGACACAGTGACAGCCAAGCCAAAAGACACAGGCTCGGACTGCATCCTGGACTTGCCTGGGTTTTGGATCTACGATACACTGTCTGCTTCCACTGACACCTTCAGGTGATCACCTTCCTAGGTTGTACAGCTCAAAGAGGAGTTATGTCAACACACTCGCTTCAGTGAGTGGTCCCAAAACGAACCCATGACTGTGATGGTCTCAAAGATAAACATGTAATCCAGGGCTAGCCAATCACCGTGAATATTCCCTAGGCTTGAGACCCAGGCCTGGCCAATCAGTCATGATTGACCTGAGAAAGGTAAACTCATGGAAAGACAGCTATCAGTTGCTGATGTCACCTTTGGCACCTCCGAGTGCCTGGCTGAAGGCTCACTAACAGGAAGCAGAGCAAAAGAATACAGGATTCCCAACATCCCCATGCCCAAATGGTTACCAAACAATGCTTTCTTCCTGTGCCTTTAAGGGCCCTATGATTGGGTTTCTGTCCCTCACAATCAAGAGGGGTTGTACTACCAGGGAAGTAACTAGCCTAACCTTTCACCCTGCTTTTCTGTCTCTACCTCAGCCTCTCTGAGAACAGAGAAGGACCACCCCTGGAAGGAGCCAAAGGTTCCCTGTCCTCCTGTGTCCATACCATGCTGCAGCCACCTATGGCGGAGCAGGTCAGAACCCACCTTCAGCTCCTGGAGCTTCAGCCTGAGGTGGATCAGCCTCACCACAGCGTCTTTCTGCTTCTCCGACTGCTCTGGCAGCTCCAGGATCACCTGTTTGCACTCTTCGATTGCCTGCCGCAGCTGCTGGACATCCGAGGCCAGGAAGAGACCCTGCCCAGGTTGGAAGGCAGCATTCAGATAGCCACCTAGAAGTTTCTCCCCATGGAAGGCAGGCCTCTCCTCGTGAGTAGTTAGGCATACAGCAGACCTCAGCTCCCTCACCCAGAGGAAGACTTGTTCAAGGCCCAAGAGAGTTAGCAACACATATGAACTCATTCATGTGGATTTTGGAGTTTGAGGCCAGCCTGGTCTACAGAGTGAGTTCTAGGACAGCCAGGGCTACACAGAGAAACCCTGTCTCAAACAAACAAAAAGAATCCATTCAAAGCCGGGCGGTGGTGGCGCACACCTTTAATCCCAGCACTTGGGAGGCAGAGGCAGGCGGATTTCTGAGTTCGAGAGTTCGAGGCTAGCCTGGTCTACAGAGTGAGTTCCAGGACAGCCAGAGCTACACAGAGAAACCCTGTCTCAAAACAAACAAACAAATAAAAAAACAAAAAAAACAAAAAAAAAACAAAAAAACCAGCTTCTGCAGCTGGGGGCGTGGCTCGGTTGGTAACCTGCATGCCAAGCACAGGTGACATCCTGGGTTCGATCCCCAGCACCAAATAAACCACACTTGATGACGCATGTCTAGAATTCAAGCACTCAGGAGGTGGAGGCAGGAAGTTCAAAGGTTAAACTGGAAGACAGACTGGGCTAGAGACCTGTTTCAAAAAGAGGAAGGGGGAAAAAGTGTTTATCCTCAGCTACATAGCAAGTTTGAGACCAACCTGGGCTACTTGAGATTATCTTAAAGGCAAGGAGCTGGGGAGATGACTCGATCAGGAAAGTGCTTGCCGTGTAAACATGAGGCTCTGAGGAGGGATTCCCCAGCACACGGAGAAAACGCCGAGCACGGCAGAACATGTCAATGATCCCGGTGCTGGGGAAAGGAAACAGGGTGATCCCTCGAGTTCTTTCTTGGCCAGCTGTTCTTGCTGAGTGAGTTCTAGATTCAGTGAGAGACTCTGTCTCAAAATAAGTAAGATGGAGCAAGTCAGGCGGAGGCAGGAGGATCTCTCTGAGTTCAAGGCCAGCCTGGCCTATATAGTGATTTCCAGGTGAGTCGGGGCTACATAATGCAGTCCTATCTCAGCGAGATGACAGACAGACAGACAGACAGACAGACAGACAGACAGACGGCAGACAGACTGTCAGACAGGCACATAGACAGATAAGTGATAGATAAATGATAGGTGATGACTGGCAGACGACAGACAGACATAGATATTTAGATAGATGATAGATGATTGACAGACAGACAGTAAGATAGATGGAAAGTTATCTAAACAGATGTTAAATGGATGGATGGACAGATAGATAGTTATGTAAGCAGATGCTAGATGGATGGTTGGATGGAGAGATAGATAGATAGATAGATGGATGGATGGATAGATGATAGATAGATAGATGATAGATAGATAGATAGATAGATAGATAGACAGACAGACAGACAGACAGACAGATAGATAGATAGAGATAGGATGGGATAGCAACAGAAAAAGCCTCCTGATATTGACAGCTGGCTTCTGCACATATGTGTCATACATACATGAGATCATGTACAGACACATACATCAAACACACATTTAAAAACATTGTAAAAAGTGTCAGGCCCGATGGTACACACACCTTTCATCTGAGCACTTGAAGGCAGTGCTGGAAGACTCAGAGGACAGCCTGGGCTACAGAGTGAGTTCAAGAACATTCAGGGCTACACAGAAAGACTCTGTCTGGCGGGGTGACTCCTAAGGCTAAGAGTATCACTTAATAAGCAGAGCTAGGTTAAGTGGAGTCCCTATCTAACACGCCAGAGGCCTCAGCACCACAAACACAAACACACACTTCCTCTTTAGAAATGCAGTCCAATAGCTTTCTTTCTTTCTTTCTTTCTTTTTTATTTATTTATTTATTTATTTATTTATTTATTTATTTATTTATTTATTTTTTGGTTTTTCGAGACAGGGTTTCTCTGTGTAGCCTGGGCTGTCCTGGAACTCACTCTGTAGACCAGGCTGGCCTCGAACTCAGAAGTCCACCTGCCTCTGCCTCCCAAGTGCTGGGATTAAAGGCGTGCGCCACCACTGCCCGGCATCCAATAGCTTTCTTAGCCATGTGGTTTCATCTCTAAAAAGACTGAGAAAATGAGGAAGAGGCTTCCAGCTTAAAGATTAAGAAACCAGCAAAGCAGCCGAATGGGGCACAGTCACCCCGGACTCAGCACCTCTGGGTCCTCTCTCATACAGTGACCCAGAGTCTCAGTCTAGCTAAGGCCCCACACCTAGAATGTTCTGCTTCCATTGAGACAGGCTCAGACCTCAGAGCCAGGGAGGTCAGCTGACTTTGTCCTTAGTAGATGTGCTTTCTAAAGACTCAAGCAGAAAGGTGGTGCTGTCTGTCTTCCTCTTTAGAGCTCATTTTGTGGCTAAGTGGAAGTGTGTGACATGTTATAAGAAACATAAAACAGGGCTGAAGGGATGGCTCAGCGGTTAGGAGAACTGACTGCTCTTCCAGAGGTCCTGAGTTCAATTCCCAGCACCCACATGGTGGCTCACAACCATCTGTAATGGGATCTGATGCCCTCTTCTGGTGTACCCATATAAAAATAAATAAATAAATAAATCTTAAAAAAAAAAAAAAGGAACATAAAACACCTTGGGCTTGATGGCATGCGCACATAATCCAACTGCTTAAGAGGCTGAGGCAGAAGGATAAAAAAATTCAAGACCACCCTAGGCTACAAAGCAAGTTTAAAGCTAGCATTAGAAACTTTGGAAGACTTGGGTCACCACCTTTAATCCCAGTACTCAGGAAGCAGAGGCTGGAAGACATCTGAATTCCAGGCTAGCCTGGTCTACAGATTGAGTTCCAGGACAGCCAGAGCCACACAGAGAAAACCAGTCTGGACACAAAAACAAAAGAAAAGAAGAGAAGAGAGGAGAAGTGAGGAAAGGGGAAGAGAAGGGGAGAGGAGGGGAGGGGAGGGGAGGGGAGGAGAGAGGCAGGGGAGGGGAAGGGAGAGGAGAGGAGAGAAACATACTAGGTCTCTCCTTTCTCTTTTCTCTTCAAAACAAGCCTTCTGTCAAACAACACACAGACTGAGCCAGAGAGGTACATACATATAAAGTACCATTTATAAAACACCCCTGGGGTGCCAGGCGGTGGTGGTGCACGCCTTTAATCCCAGCACTTGGGAGGCAGAGGCAGGTGGATTTCTGAGTTCGAAGCCAGCCTGGTCTACAGAGTGAGTTCCAGGACAGCCAGGGCTACACAGAGAAACCCTGTCTCAAACACCCCCCCCCCAAAAAAAAACCCCACCCCTGGGGGACTCCAAAGTGAATCAGCTCTAACACCTGATTCTCTTTTGCTTTTTGTTTTTTTCAAGACAGGATTTCTCTATGGAGCCCTGGTCGCACTAGAACTCACTCTGAAGACCAGGCTAGCTTCAAACTCAGAGATCCACCTGTCTCTGCCTCCAAATGCTGGGATTAAAGGCCTTTGTCTCCACTGCCTGGCCACACTCACTCCTTAAGAACCTGAAACTTCAGAGGAAAGAGAATGCACACCTCCCAACTGTCTCCAGACCTCAGATTTTGAAGATGAGGGTCAGGTACCATGAATGTTTCAGATTCAAAACCCAGGGGACTGGGTTGACTTGGGGACCACTGAGCCCAATGGTAGTGACTAGCTAGAAAGGAAACTGTACCCCATCTCGTGAGTAGCCATGTGCTATGATGAGGACAATTTCTAAGGGCCCAGATTCCAAACCTTACCACAGGGCGGGAAAAGTGGTCCTCAGACAGGCCGAGATCCATCATGCGCTCTGAGTACCGGAACTCAGGCTCCCCAGCGGGTAGCTCAGGCAGAGTCTCTGGATAAGAGGAAGACAGACATGAAGGATGGTAAAGAGTCTGCCTGCTGCCTCTTTCTCCTCATCAAGTAAGGAAGCAGCTGGGGAGGATAAAATTGAGCCAGGGGCATTAGGAAGCCCACAAAAAGGGGGTACTGGGAAAAGCTAGGCCCAACTCAGCTGCCTGTAAGAGACTCTGTCTCACTGTGAAGGCCAGAAAGCACCAGTCAAAATTCCAAGTGTTATTCCAGTTTCTGATCGCCCTGTAAAAAGTCTGACTCTTGTGTACATTGCTGAAAGAAAAAAAAAAGAAAAAAGTTTTGTGAACACTTAGTAGTGCTCAGAGAGACCTACAAGATAGTATTATAGAAATGTCAGGCAGTGGTGGCGCACGCCTTTAGTCCCAGCACTTGGGAGGCAGAGGCAGGCATATTTCTGAGTTCGAGGCCAGCCTGGTCTACAGAGTGAGTTCCAGGACAGCCAGGCCTACACAGAGAAACCCTGTCTCAAAAAAAAAAAAAAGAAAAAGAAAAAAGAAAAGAAAAAAGAAAAAGAAAGAGAAATGTCCCAAACTGGGTGTGGCCACACTCGCCTGTAATCCTAGCAGCTGGGAAGCAGAGACAAAATAACCAGTCTCAGTTTTGAGATCAGCCTTGGCTACACAGATGGACCCAGTCTCTAAATAAAGACACAAAGAAACAAACCCAATTTCTAAGGCAGATGCTTCCTGGCTAGACTAAAGAAAAACCACTGACTGGCTCTGACACAGTCAGTAAGTGCTGCGTGGACTTCAGGCTACCTCAACAACCACCCTCTTCCCATGAACTCCCCAACTCCCCTACCCAGAATCCCTGCCCTACTTTTCTGATCTCAAGGTGAGGGTCTATCCACAGACACTGAAGCCATTAGACTCTTCTCCCTAAGTCTCAGCTCTGAGTTTGCTCCAGAGTGAATTCACTAGACACCAACTGTGTGAGGCCCTGGGTCTTAACAGTGATGCTCCAGATCCCTGCCCTCTAGACCACTGGTCCTCAGCCTTCCTATGCTGCCATCTTCCAGTGCAGCCTCTCCTGTTGTGTAGACTTCTATCCCCAACCATAAAATTACTTTCATTGCTACTTCATAACTGTAATTCTGCTACCGTTATAAATCATAATATAAATATCCCTATCTGGTGATGCTTTTAGGAAAGGTTTACACAAACCCCAAAAGGGTTGAGACCCACAGGTTGAGAACCCCTGTTCTTGAGCGTTCGCTCTGGTAAGGAAGACAAAGGAAAACCTTAGAGTAGGTGGAGTGTGACTATGCCCACTCGTGGGAGAGCCACAGACAGGAAGAGTGACAGGGTTGATCTAAGGTGTCAGACAGTCTACACAGCCCTCACACTGCACCAAAGCTCACCTTCAGAAGTGACTTCTTGGGCCTTCTCATTGGGTTCCTGTTCATGTTGCCTTGGTCCAAGCTGCTTGTTGAAGGGGTTGAGGTGGGCCTGCCGGAACCGAACCAGCTTCTCATCATATTCCATAGCATCCCACCTGCAGGGCCAGCATGGCTGAAATGAGTGTCCCAGGCTCATGGTGGCTCATCCTCTTTCTCCAACACCCTGTCTCTTTCACTTCCCAGAAGCTGGAGACATGGGGTAGAACAGGGCAACCCCACAAAACAGCTTCAGTCCTTATCCTCCCCGGAAACCAACAGTTACCTCTAACCATGCTTCCCTGGCAGTGTTTCCTCAGAAGAAGCCTCCAGCAATAAGGGCTAGCCTAGTGATACAGCTTATCCCAGGGTGTCAGATGGAAAGTCTGGAATCTAAGGTCCTACTCCTGGTAGGGTTCCATTTGGCCTTGGAGCTCCTCAGAAGGCTCTTTGCTAGGTCTCAAGAGGGCAGATTTCTCACTCACCCCCAAACCCAATCTAGTCAGGCCCTTGCTGTTAGCCTACCCTTATGAGACACATCTCTTGGAACTGATCCTCCTTCCTGTCCCTTTACTTGAGATGATCCCTATAAAACAGAACGTCCAAAAAATGCCATCCTTGTTAGACTGTTCACCGGTGAGTTCTCTGGAGTTAAATCCAAGGCCCATCCTCACCCTGCCATTGGCAGGGTGACCTAGGCCCATTCCCTGGCCCCAGCAATGCAACTAGGTTCTAGCACGAGATTGTACCTCTGAGGCTTGAGTTCCAGTCCTATGTCACGACCACATGGCCTGAGTTGTTCGGGCCATGGGATCCCACATAGCAGAAGTGTTCAGGTCTGCCCTTGTCAGACGGTAAGATCACCAGCCACTCTTTCCCCTCCCTAGGGCTCAGCCCACAATGGGAGCACAAAGCAGGTGGCTCCTGGCAGAAGGGAGGGGCTGTCTGTGTCTGAATAAACGCGGAGCCTTTGGAATGCAGTTCTCTACTTATCCAGTCCGGCCACATTCCATAGCTGCTCTCTGCCTCTGTTTCCTCATCCAGAGGTGGGTCACTGTAGGTGAAATTAGTTCATAGACCCTGAGCACAAAATAAATTCTAGCCAGGCAGTGGTGGCGCACGCCTTTAATCCCAGCACTTGGGAGGCAGAGGTAGGTGGATTTCTGAGTTCTAGGCTAGCCTGGTCTACAGAGTGAGTTCCAGGACAGCCAGGGCTACACAGAGAAACCCTGTCTCGAAAAAACAAACAAACAAACAAACAAACAAAATACACTCTAGACAACCCAAATGTGGTGTTGCATGCATTTAATCCCAGCACTCAGGAGGGCAGAAGCAGGCAGATCTCTGAGTTAGAGGATAACCTGGTCTACAGAGCAAACTGTCTTGAAAACAAACAACAAACAAACATCTATACAAGGTTTTCTATGATGATAGAAAGTCAGAGGTGAGTGTAGACCTGGGCCGTGGGTGACTGGGTACTAGTGTGCTTTCTCAATGCCTATGTCAGTCAGAAATAAGATGAACTCTAACTCCTCCCCTAAGTCCAGAGGGGCAGGCCCTGCTCAGTCCTCACTATGTGGGGTGGTAACCTGGACTGATGGCCCCTCAGCACTCTGCAGAAGCTCTCTCCAGAGCCACATGGACAGTGTCCTGCTGGCCCTGCCTCTGCTCAGGGAAGAAACAATAGCTCTCGTCTACTAAGAACTAACAGCTGCTGACAAGGACGTAAGGGGATCCAGCCTTTGGGTAAGCCACACTGGGTGCTGCAGCCTTTGGGTAAGCCACACTAGGTGCTGCAGTCAGGGGTCCCCAGCTAATGCCCAGCACCTCCCAAGCATCCTAAGGAGCAGCCAGAGTGCAGGGAGATTAAACTGTCCCAGGGCTCACTCACCCTTTCATCCTGAGTGAGGGGCCATCACTGTTCATCACGTGATTTCCCAGGCTGCCCTGAACCTAGCCATGGTAGTATGACTATGTTCTGATCAATAGAACACCCGCAGAATGATCACGCAGGGCTTCTCAGAACTGTTCTACCGCCCTTCCTCCTCTGACTGGAATGCAGACGTAATGAGTGAAGCTGACACAGCCACTTTGAGCGATGACAGAAGCCACAGACGAGGACTGCCAAGGGAGACATCTAAGGCGCTTCCACCCAGGCTCAGCTGTTCACTGCGAGGGTGCAGTCAGGTGAGGCAGAAGCAAACTTGTTTAGACCACTGCTGTTGGAAGGGGGAGCTCTGCCTCTGACAGACAAAATAGATCCTAATAGATCCTAATAGACCACTCCAGTCACCACTGAGAAGACGGACATCCTCAGTCTGAACGCCAGCTCTGCCAGCCTCCCGCCTTTCTCTGCTCCCAGTGTCTCACTCAAAAGAGGAAATAATAATACTACCACCACATAGGGCTAAGCAGTAATAGAGACACTCACGGGCAAAGAGACAGGCTCTTAATCCACAAAGCCTGTTACTCACCCAGGTCCTCCTCTCTCTTGTTAGCAATCTATGGAACGTGTCCATTGTCCACCCCGTTATAACAAGGGAAAACTCCACCAGGCATAGGATAATGACAGGAGATCTCCAGGGACAAACTGGCCACTTCTCTCCATCTTACATGGGAAAAATCGCCTTCAACCACGAGAAAGGCATTTCTTTAAACATTATATTCTTGCAAGGCAGTGGTGGCACAGGCCTGTAATCCCAGCACATGGGAGGCAGAGGCAGGCAGAGTTCTTCACCTTGGCCTTGTCTCGGACCTTGGACAGTCTAAGGCTGCCAGCCTGGCCTACAGGGCAAGTCCCAGGACAGCCAGGGCTACACAGAGAAACCCTGTATCAAAAAAAGAAACAAAAACAAAACAAACAAACAAACAAACCAAAAGCCATAAAATGCCTTCATTTTTCCGTTGGCAGCATGTGCGTCTCAGAACCAGCTGTTCCCTTTCTCTTAAAATCTCTCCTTCGCAGTAAGACTTCTGCCTAAGCACTCACACACAGACCGGTTTCTTTTCTATCACCACTGGGAGAATCTCCATGGAGTCTGATATCAGGGTTGTTATAATGATAAAATTCATTAATAATAAAGTCCCAAGAGCAGGGGATGGAGCAGGGGACGGCTCAGCAGTTAAGAGCTTTCTGCTCTTCCAGGGAACCTGGGTTTGATTCCTGGGACACACACAGCTGCTTACAACCATCTTTAACTCCAGTACCAGGGAAACGAACACCTTTTTTAAACCTGCTTGGGCACCACGCATGTAAGTGGTCAACAGACACCTGTGCAACTGACAGCGCTGGCCAGAGTAGCCCAAACACCTACTAACTATCAGCTACAACTCATTACTGTCAGCGTTACTAGTATCTTTGAGAGTCAGGCAACTCTGCTTTAAATTTTGTGGTTGGGGCCTGAGATGGCCACTGGGTACCACGCCTGACAACCTAAGGTCAAGCCTCGGGACCCACATGATCAAAGGAGACAACTGATTCCTGCAAGCTGCCCTCTGACCTCCACTTGTGAGCCAGGTATATGCATGTGCCCAGACACACACACACACACACAAAACAAACAAATAAGTAAATGTAATTGTTAAGAATTTATTAAAAATTTTGGGCAGTGGTGGCACACACCTTTAATCCCAGCACTTGGGAGGCAGAGGCAGGTGGATTTCTGAGTTCGAGGCCAGCCTGGTCTACAGAGTGAGTTCCAGGACAGCCAGGGCTACACAGAGAAACCCTGTCTCAAAAAAACAAAACAAAAGAATTTATTAAAAATAATAAAACGAATCAATGTGTAGGCCTATTCTCTTGCTCGGAAGTCAGGGAGAAGCCTGAGGCTGAGCGGAAGGATGAGTGTGAGGTTTGGTAACAACAGAAACTAGAGTTGCTGCTGTCACTGACACCATGTGGTGACTAGCCCAATCTAAAGGAACTGGGTGGAGCCCACAGGAGCCCCTCCCAGAAGCTTTCCCTGGAAACCTCCTGATGTTTTAGAATATAGTCAGAGGGGCAGGAAGACCTTGGCAAGAACTTGCCAACCACTCTCCTCTGGGCTATCTTTCCCAGGAAAATGGTTCCCTTATGCACGTCCTGACTGGCACTGCCACCACCTGACCTGGAACAAAAGCAGGGGGTGAATTAAGCAATGAAGCCATTTGACCCGTCTGCCTAGTTTGTCTGGGACCAGTCTGGAGAACCATACTGCCCTTTCAGCTGAGAACAAATAGACAGCACCCCAGCCCAGCACAGGCTGCAGGAAGCAACAGCTGCCTTCGAGTATGACACCATCTCTTATTTCTACACTGGCCTTACAGAGTTCTGCACCCAGGATCCATGGTTGACCTCAGGAAAGAGACTCAAGAAAGGGGAAAACAAAACAAAAGAAAACTGTTCCATCAAGGCCCTGCAGAGGCCTCTCCTAAAGCGAATAGTAATTAAGACTTGACAACTGAAGCCCTCAGAGTAAAGACCAAGGGTCTGGGGTACATCAGAGGCACTGGGTGAAAGTTCAGGACAGATTACTGAGTGTAAGAGCCCTCCTCCCATGTGTTACTTTGGGTTAAGCCACCAAAAAGTGCTAGTCCAAGGGCCACAGGAGGCCCTGAGAAGGGACAAGGTACATCCTATCTGCTCACACTCGTAACAAGGATGGACCAGTAATCCGGGCCAAGCAGGACCAACGTTAATCATTCTCAACTACCCCAGAAGGCGCAACAAAGAGCACCTCACATTTCTACCCTCTATCCGGTGAATTCATTCTGAGGATGCGCGTGTCCTCGCTGGGGCAGGTCTCTACGACCTTCCTCATCCATTTCATAATTGTGAAACCGGAGACTCAGAGACGCTCAACATAGCAGAGGGCGGGTCCCTGCGGGTCCTTGGGCCAGGAGTCCCATACTCAGCCTCTGAAGCCACAAGGTGGTTGGGGGTGTGTGTCGGGGGGTCCCCATCTGTGGACGCTAAGCTCTGCCCCACGTAATGCGGGGACCAATGAGGTCACCAAGGCCTTGCGCGCAGCAGAAAGCCAGCAGGCGGCAGCCGGGAGCTGGATGTCTTGATGAGGCCTCTGCCAGTTCTGCAACCTGAGTGCGCGAGTCAGAAGCCGGATCCCGGAGTCTGGCCAGTGGCGATTGCATGCTGAGATCTGGACCCTCGCCTGCTTCCCCACCAGACCCACCGGACACCTGCGGTGACAGCTCCGCCGCTTACCTGGCTGCCGCTACATTGTACCGGACCGGCTGGCTACACTGTAGTTCGCCGCCGCTGCTACACTGTACCGGCTCCGCCGCCCGCTGCTGCCGCCTCCGGCCAGGAGGTTCATGACACCGATTGCCCTACTGCCTCGCTGGAGCGCCTCCAAGTCTCCTGCTTCTGGTCCACTGAGTGCATTACCTTTGCCCTGAGTCTTTTCTCCTCCTGGGGTTCCACGCCACGCCTGGTAACTGCGTTCAAGCGAATGGCTCCACCGTGGTAACCCCCTCAATGTCCCCACATCCCCAACACTGACATAAGTTGTCCCCAGGACACCACCATGGAGACATTTAGGAGGTATCTCAAGCTCCAAAAGATACTGGCTTGAGACAACAACACATACACACACATCACACCACATATACACACATACACACACCACACCACATACACACACACACACACACACTAGACACACCACATACACAACACACACAATTACACACAACATACCATACACACACATCACACACGCACACCGCACCACATACACGCTATATGCACCATACACACCACACACACACACCTCACACATCTCACACACCCCTTCTCTTTGATAGCCAATAAGCCATTCCCACCTGAGGCTAACCTTCACTCAGCACCCCCCTCCCCGCCTCCTTCTGAGCCTCAAGTTCATCCTCAGCCCAGGAGTTAGGGGAAACAACAGCCAAATGTCTCCCCTAACACTTCCTCCTCATCTGTGAGCAGAGATCTCTGAAAGGCGTTCATCACTATCTGATGACTCTCCTCTGACATTTTACGGACTGTCTGCTCTTCATCCCAAAAGCTAGGAGCTAAAGGCAAGCATTTTGTATTATTTCTTCTGTGCTGGAAAGCCTTCACCAGAGCCTGGGCCTAAGGGTGCTAGTCACACAAGTCCAAGAACAGTTAAATCCCCAGAGGAGGACAGGGGGACTAGAAGATGCTCTCCTCAGCAGGTGTACTATGCCATAGGCACAGTTAGTAACATTAATGATACAGGCCAGTGTCTATACTAGCATTGAGCCCTGTCCCTCACCGTCAAGGAGCGGCAAGGATGGACCCAGGGTTACCTCTGTCTTCATTACTATGGGTCTTGACTATTTGTCATGGATTCAACAGCACTTTTATTGAGTACAAGTATATACCACACTCAGGCACCTCACCAGAAAATGATCAGGGCAAGACTTGAGGCTGCACCGGGTGGTGGTGGCGCACGCCTTTAATCCCAGCACTTGGGAGGCAGAGGCAGGTGGATTTCTGAGTTCGAGGCCAGCCTGGTCTACAGAGTGAGTTCCAGGACAGCCAGGGCTACACAGAGAAACCTTGTCTCGAAAAAAAACAAAAAAAGAAAAAGAAAAAAAAAAAAGACTTGAGGCTGCATCACCACTAGACTGACCAATAGAAAAGGCAAATGGATCCGGTGTGTGCTGAGCACCGAGAAGGAAACACAGAGGCTGGAAAGGCGGGGCCTGAGATTAGAGAGGGAGGCTGGATGTTTGATTTAAGGTTCGAAAGGAAAGGAGTTGACGAACACTTAGAAAATGAGATTTGAAGACTGTGGTGTCTTAGTCCCTGTTCTGCTACTGCGAACAGACACCGTGACCAAGGCAACGCTTACAAGAGAAACCATTTCACTGGGGACTTGCTTACAGTTTCAGAGGCAGGCATGGCGCTGGAGCAGTAGCTAAGCACTTGCATCCTCATTCACAGTTGGAGGCAGAGAGAGGGAGACAGAGATAGACAGACAGACAGGCGAGACATGACCTGGTAGGAGCTTTTGAAACCTCAAAATCCACCCCGAGGGACAATACCTCCTAATCCTTGCTAAAACAAGATCTATGACTCTGTACAAAAAAAAATTCAAATATATGAACCCATGAGACCGTTCCCATTCAAACCAGCACAGACATTAAGGCCTGTGACTCTAGCAGTTCCAAGGCAGTGGTAGGAATACTGGAAGTTCAAGACAAGGCTTAGCTACATGAGAGTTCAAGGCTACTCTGGACTACATGACTGTCCCGTAAAAAGACGAAAAAAGGAAAGGCAACTTGTAGTGGTTTGAATGAGAATGGCCCCCATAGGCTCATATATGTAAATGCTTGGTCTTCAGGGATTGGAACACCTTCAGAGGATTAGGAGGCGTGGCCTTGTTGGAGTGGGTGTGGCCTTATTGAAAGGAGGTGTGTCACTGAGGAAGGGTGGGTTTTGGGATTTCAAAAGCCCAAGCCAATCTCAATGCCTCACTCTTCCGGCTGCCTGAGGATTCAGATATGGAAAGAACTCTTGGGCCCTTCTCCAGCACCATGTCTGCCTGCATGCCACCATGCTCCCCCTCCACGATGAAAACGGACTAAACCTTTGTTGCAGGATATTTGATCACACTGAATCCCGAGATTGTATTATTTACTGAAAAAAAATTTTTTCTAGTTGAGGTGTGGCTCAGCCCTTAACACACACCTTTCATCCCTCTGACTGGAATACAGGCGTGCCCTTAGTACACACCTTTCACACCTTCAATCCCAAACAATGAATGTTAAGTTAGTTTGTAGAATGAAGCACCCATGTTTGAAAGTGACGTCTAATTGAGAGACAACGTGACAGATCTGAGAATAGGATATGTTTAACTCTTATAAGAAGAGAGAGGAAAGAGAGGCAACATAAAGGGAGCAGTGAAGAGAGAGAGAAAGAGAGAGAGAGAAGAGAGGAGGCAGTTTTACTGAGATAGTTGTACAGACAGGTTGCAGAGAGAGAACAAGCTAGACACAGGTGAAGACAGAATGAGCCAGAGAATGAGAAGGAGCCAAGAGATCAGAATATATTGCCAAAGTTAGTATGAGGCCATGCAGACCAATTCAGTTAGAAGCCAAGAGAGAAAGACCAGTTTGAATCAGTCAGAAAGCTTGGAGAGAAGTTTGAGCCAGAACAGCTGAGTTGAACAGCCAGCTAGAGCTCAGAAAGAACAAGAAAATATGGGCTTATTCAGTAGTAAGCCTCAGAGACTGAAACACTCTAGGCCTATATAAAATTGTACAGAGGCGAGAGGCTTCCAGGACTAGGCCTAGGTTCACAGACTGAGGCAGTCTGGGAGACAACAACTATGCAGGAGAATAAAGCCTGTATAGCTTTTACAAACCTCTGAAACTGTAAGCAAGCCCCAATTAAATGCTTTCTTTTATAAGAGTTATTGGGAGTCCATTTGACCTGTGAGACCTTTGGGTTAAAAAGCATGAGCAAGCCGGGTGGTGGTGGCGCACGCCTTTAATCCCAGCACTTGGGAGGCAGAGGCAGGTGGATTTCTGAGTTCTAGGCCAGCCTGGTCTACAGAGTGAGTTTCAGGACGGCCAGGGCTATACAGAGAAACCCTGTCTCAAAAAAAAAAAAAAAAAAAGTACACCTATTTCAACAATGCCACACCTCCTTCAACAAGGCCACACCTCCAATAATGCTAGTCCCCATGGGTCTATGGAAGTTTTTTCACTCAAACCAGCAAGATGTCTCTTCACAGCAATAGAACATTGACTAAGACAGAGAGAGAGAGAGAGAGAGAGAGAGAGAGAGAGAGAGAGAGAGAGAGAGAATAAGAAAGAAGCAAGAAGAAGCTAGATTACACAGAGCCCTCCAGGAGTCACACCCACGGAAATAAAATTTGGCAAAAGGTGAAATAAAAACAGAGAGAAAGGAGAGAGCAGTGGCCCCAGCCATAACTAGGCTGGCTTTGACTGTGGTAAAAGGAAGACTTTAATTTTTTTCTTAAAAACATTTTTTCGGATACAATCAATATACAACGTCATACTTGAAGTCTGTCGATTGACAAATGCTGACGTATGTATAGACCAGAGAAAACCGTAATAAAGATAGTATACTTACCCTTCATCCTCTCACGCTCCCTCACGACAGTTTTCAGCTCCCTCTATCCTTCCCTCCGCCTGCAGGGAGCCACTGATCCTTGCCTTTGGGTTGGATTTCCTGTAGTGTCGCAGAAATGAATTCAAGTGGTACAGATTCATTTTCCTCTACCTTCTTTGACTCCACAGAACTGAAACTCACCCGCGTCACAGCAGACGGCGATGCTGTGCTCTTTCGTGTTAGACTCGTTGTACGGCTCTACCCTTCCCCTGTTGGTGAACATCTGGGCTGTTTCCCAGCGATGGCTATTACAAACGAACCTGCTATAAGTGACCGCGTGCAAGTCTTTGTGCGGAGACATGCTTTTGCTTCACCTGACAAATGTTCAGCAGAACGGGTAGCTGTTAAAGTAAGCTTATGTTTGATTCTCTAGAAAACTTAATTTTTTTTCTTTTTTTTTTTTTTGGTGGGGAGGGGGTTCGAGACAGGGTTTCTCTGTGTAGCCCTGGCTGTCCTGGAACTCACTCTGTAGGCCAGGCTGGCCTCGAACTCAGAAATCTACCTGCCTCTGCCTCCCAAGTGCTGGGATTAAAGGCGTGCACCACCACCGTCCTGGCTAATTTTTTTTTTTTCCAAACAGTGTTGCACCAGTTCAGATTCCTCTTTGGTTTTGTACCCTGGGGATAAGGGGCTGAGGTGCATATTTTACACACCAAAGTTCTCCTCCAGGTTCTCCCACAATCCCTCAGTCCCTTCCTGGCATATCCTGCCCCCAACCCTGAGCCTTCCAGCCCAGGGCCTGGGCTGCTGTTCCCCCAGGAGGCTCTTCCCCATACAATCCAGACATTCTGGTCTCTTGCTCTCTCTTCTTTTTCCTCTGTTCCCTTTCACTCATTCTCTTCCCCTGCCTTCCCCATCTCCATAGCAACTCCCCTGGCCTCGATCCTTGGGGCCAGTGAACTGGACAGAGATCAGTTTCCCAATAAACCTGCCTTTAATATAATCTAATCTGGCTTGATGAGGCTTTTTTCAACGGCGGAGAAATAACCTATCAATTCCTACTGGCAGGGTGTCTTACTGTTCTATTGCTCTGATGAAACATCAATTACGACTTTCACAAGGCAACTTACAGAAGAAGGCATTTAACGAAGGGGCTTGCTTACGGTTTCAGAGGGTTGGTTTATGACCATCATGGTGAGGAGAACAGAGGCATGTCATTG